CTTTTTTTGGGTAAGGAGCTAGTTTTGTTAATAAAAATAGTTTTATCATTTGATGCGATGAGGTTTTGATCCTGGTAAGGTTAAGATTCTGAGATCTTTAGTATTTAAGTATAAATTTCATTATACATAATATCATACATACATGAGTTTTTAATTTAAATTTAAAATCTTATCGTATTAAAGTTATTTTAGTTTTAATATATTATGAAAAATATATATTTGGTAGTAGTAATATTTTCGATGAGTAGATGACAGATATATAGATATTATATGAGATTGGGGTGAGTAAAGGAAAGTAGGAAAGTGGGAGAAATCAACAGGGTAGCATGGAAGGTTGATTGTTGCTCGTGATTTTAACTTGAAACATGTTGGCAAACAAATGTAGTTCATGCCTTCCAATTCTTTAAATGAGGTTCCATCCTCCATGTCGGGAAAAAAGGCATAATCAGACCAGACATGGGGCTTGTTTACAGGGGACATGTCTCCCCCTCCCAGTGGTCAATCAATGTGTTCTTGAGGATAGGTACTAGCGTAGACTTTGAAATCTAAATTTTATTTATTTATTTTATTAATAGCATTTATCGTAAAATTTTATTTATATTTATCTTATTTTCAAAAAATATTATTAATATATATATACACACTAAAAATATTTATGAATTCACTGTTCTCCGCTCCGGATTTAATTCCCTTTTTATACACTAATTCATATATTTCATCTACACATATCATATCGTATCATATCCCCACCAAGTACGGATCAAAGTAAACTCTGCAGTTATGTAACTTTAAACTGCTTAAAATATGAAAGTTGAGCCTCTAATCCAGCACAGATTTGGGTTCAGCCTTTACCTCAATGTCAGTGCTTATTATTAGTTCTCGTGTAGTTTTATTATTGGAAATCTTGTTAAAGCAGCCAACATGCTTTGACCAACTTACAGAAGGACGATGTTGTTGTCAAAATCCCAGCTAATTAGTGAAAGCGTTGGCGACACGTACAATTCCAGAAGGGTGAAAGAGATTGATGGTAAAGCTGTCTGTCGATGGCCGCGAGTCAAACAAACTAAATTTGGATCGACCATGTTAGACTGGACAAATAATCCAACATCATTGCTTGTAATGCGGGAAGGAAGATGTGACTTGTCATTTTAGTTCATTTACATTTTACACTTTCTTTTTATTTTTTGGGTTTGGAATTTTGGATCTACATGTCCACTTGATTGTTTTGTTCCCAACTGTTTCCATCATTGTTCCATATATGTCACCGTCGATTGAGCTCAGGAATTAACCTAGAAGAGGGGGTGTGGACGTTTCCTTAAAAATTTTAAGTTATTATATATTTTAAATATTTTATATTAAAAATATATTTTTATCTCTTAAAATTTTATAAATTCTCTCATACTTAAAATTTTATAAGTTTATATCTCATAATATAAAATCATGTGTTCGTCCTTAATTGAGCCGCTAATATAAACATCACCCTCTTAATATTTCTAACTACTAACATTATTGTAAAATTTAAAAAAGTTTTTTTTTGGGTGAGTTTAGGGACATTGGAGATACACGAGAATGAAGTTTTCTAGAAAAACAAAAACAAAAACCCAGCTCAAGCAGGATTCTAAAGGCCCATTATCTCTTTCTTAGATCAATAGGCTCAAACATCTCGTGAACTACATAACCTTTTGTATCAAAACCGAAATAATCAATTTTTCACTTGAAATTACGAAATTTTTATGTTATAGCATATGATCATGTTTTTTTATAGTAAGGCAAACACCAGCATGTATTACTTCATGCAGCATTAAATATTAATGTATATGGATACATATAACCTAAGTTGGACTTATAATTATTAATCTAAGAGTGCATTAAGTATGAGTTTGAAGTCCTCCAAGGTCACAGCTCCATCACCATCTGCATCCATGGAGGCTACCACACTCTGGCAATCCTCCAGGGAGTGTTGTCCCATTCCAAGATTACCCATAACTTCATACAGTTCCGTAGCTGTTAAAACCTCATCCCCTTGGACCTCAATAGCCTGGAAAGCGGTGTTGAGACAATTGGCAAGCTCCCCAAGTTCCATGTCCTTGGTGTTCATCTCAAGGAACTCTTCCATGCACAGCAACCCGTCCTTGTTACCGTCTCCTTCCCGCATCATCGCCCTCACGTCCTGCTCGCTAGCGTTGTAGCCCAGAGAGCTCAGGATTCCGCCCAGCTCCGCAGCATTGATAGCACCGTCGTTGTCTGAATCAAATGCTCTGAAAGCCTCCATCAGGCTTCGGACATTGCTCAGCGTCTCGGTTTCTGCTGACAGAGAAGATCCCAGTTGAGCCATGGTGCTTATATATTCAACTTAACTTTGCCTAACCTCCTTGTTCATCCCTTCCTATAAATAACAGGCGGAGAGAAAAGGATCAGTGATCACTTATTCTTTTTCGGGGGAAGGCGGCACCTTTGTGTCGACATAAAGTTGAAGTAAAAACGATGACAGATTCTTATGATTGAAGATAATTATCCTAATCCTGAATATTTTCTGGTTTGGTTGCATGTTCATCCACACTAATATATATGTATTTGGGTTCAAGATTGCTGATAGTAATATCTAGAGTGTAGACACTTGTTACTTTCTAGGATTCTTGATAAGATTGATGCTCATTACGTTCAACTTGGCAAAGATTCCTGATAGTAATGTGTCCGCTAGATATTGTCTTCGTTGGCCCTAAATGTTTAGATCCTGATATCTAGCTGCCCCATAATTCAATTTTTTTATTAGTATACGTGGATTATACAATAATATTAACTAAAAAAATTTCATCAATTGATAATAAATACACACATTTTATAATGTAGTTATTCCAACTCAAAATTTTAGAAAGAATATTTCCATTTATCACTTACTTAACTGGTAATTACCATCCTCGCCATCTTAAAAGTCATCATCCTCACCGTAGTCCCCAAAACACTATTTAATTACCGTTTTCAACCTTAAACGAATATCAATTACAAATCTAAGAGCTACCCACATGTAATTCGTGAGAGAAAATAGAAACTGAAAAAATTACAAACTAAATAACAAGACAGTAGACCCAGCAGAACAAAATCTAATTAATTAAAAACTTCAATTACGGACTTGCATCCGTCAAAGCTTCCATCAGAAACCCACCATCACCACCAATCTCCACGCTTACATAGCCACCAAAACTCACCCATAACCTAATCATAACACAAACCAAATAAAATTATCGTTAAATTTTTAATAGCTAGTAGTTGAATTTCCATGCATGAAGGTTATGATTTTTTCAGGTCGTCTCCCTTCGTTTTAGTACTCAATTGTCACTTGTAATCCTGTCCCCTTCGAATGCCAGTCCCAAAGAGCACAAAAGATTTGGACCCTAAAGGAAAATTAAATGCATGCAACTCCCCCCCAAGGGCAACATACAACATGATAATTAGCTGTCCATTACAGTATTAGACAAAATGATTACAAATAAATTCGCACCAACACTAAGGTTTGACATAGGTAAGTCTGTAATTGAAGTTTTTGATTGATTAAATTATGTTATGTTGGGTTTACTGTATTGTTATTAAATTAGTATTTTTTTAAAAAAATATTTTCTTTCATGTATTCTATGTGGGTAGGCTTTAAATTCCTAATTGAGTTCGGATTAAGGTTGGAGACAATGATGAGCGAGTGCTTTTGGGACGAGAATTGTATATTAATTAGGGTGACAATGATATATAAAGATTCTGTAAAATTGTAAAAAAAAAAATTGATGAAAATTATGGATGATCAATGAGGAAGAATAAGTACATTAGAATTTTGGTAAAACACAATAATTAGGTTGAAATAAATTATTTAGATGGATCAAATTAAAATAAAGATTTAAATTTATTAATTGTCATATCGAAATTTTTATACAGCAGGCTAACTTATTATTATTTTTTAAAAACTATGTGATTATTATATAACTGTGTATACTCAACGGGACTATTTGTGTATTTTACCCGAAAACAGATTATGCGTAATGCAAACTTTCATTAGAGGAGTTTATGTTTCTGTCAAATTCTCATGTCAGTAAAATTGCTATAGTAGTCGCGTTTTTATTCCTATAACGACATATACATTTTAGTATTTAAATTTAATTTTAAAGTAAAACTTAATACTTTATTTTTTTTATTTTATTCGTTATATAAGTTTAATTTATTAATTTGAATGTTTACAAAAACTTAACTTTTTAATTTAATTTGCTAAAAAAATGTAGCTAAATTAAAACTGAAAAAAATCATATAATAAAAAGTAAAATTTTCAGTTTAAAGTAGTAATTATCAATATTAATAAACAATAAAATGTCAATATTATACAAGTTCAGTTATAAAACTTAATATTATAAAAATATTCAATTTTTCATTTAATTTTTATTTTAAAAGTATTTTATGTTTATATATTTAAATTATTTTTATATAAAATAAAAATAATTATTAAATAAAAAATTTAACACGTGCAAGCACATGTGATAAAAAGAAAAAAAAATTATAAATAGAATCATAAATTAGTTCACAAATCACGACAATTATGCAATTAAAATCTATCAATTATAAGTTAGCTGCAAAGGCAGTTTTCATTTGTTCACCAAAAAAAAAATCTATCAATTATAAAACGACACATGTCTCTTAAACTTCACTAATAAGACAGATTCATAAAATAAATTAATTCATACTCAATCGACTAATTAAATAAAATTCTAGATGAAATTTCATCTTAATTTAACCCTAAATTGAAATGTCCATATTCGAATTAATTTTCTAGACGAAATGTCATCTTAATTTAACACTTATTTGAAATATCTCAATCAAATAAACATCTAAATTAAAAATCCTATAATCAAATTTCACACCTATTTGATTATGAAATTTTGATACAAAATTGTACTAACTTTACTTGATTATCACTCGACATAAACCAATTTGTTTTATAAGCTCAATAATGAATATATTCAATACATGAACAAACTAGAATTCATTTTTCATCAATAATGATATATACAAAGATATACTTGTCTAATTGTTACAGCAAATTCTCCTATAGCTAATGCTTCATCCAATAACCAAAAAGAAATAAAAAAAAAGGCAAAATCAATCCCAGACCTTACAAAATCATGACAAACAATTTAAAACATCGAGAGCAGTTCTGTTCTCATCATGGGGATTTAGATCTCTTTCAATGCCATTAGGCCTTAGTCAATGCTTAAGAATTGTTTCAGCCAACCAGATTTGACTCTTTGAAGTCTCCAGGGGCAAAACTAAAGGCAGCAACATCCGAGCTTGAGGAGGTAAATTTGTCTTCTTCCTCGTGATGGACCGAAATGGCTGCATTCAAAAGCAAAAGCATCCATGTAAAACCTAAAACCAACCGGAATCCATGAATGCATAACTTTCTGCACACAAATACGATAATAAAGTTCTCAATGAAGCTAAACCATTGTTAAAGGATATATAGTTAATATGCTGTGAGAAATGCAGAGTCCAGGAAAGTGTTTCTTCCGAGATCTGACCAACACTTGCAAACAGATGTATGATCAACAAGGAGATATAAACATATGATGGGGGGAACATGCATTATTTACCTGATCACTTGTTGCAATTTAGTTTCAAGGCTGAAAACTCAAAACCGGCGACCGATATGAGGAGATGCTGAGCCTGAGTGTGTTGGAAGAATCCTCTTTACAAATGGATGCTGTAATAGTACAGCAGCAGTTGGGCGAGCATTGGGATTGACTTGTAAGCATTGCAAAATAAAATCTCGTGCATCTTTTGACAAAGAATCAGGAACAGCTGGTGGCTCACCTCTGCCAATTCTAAACAATGCTTGCATCTGTTTCAATTTACACCAAAGATGTCATTAAAGACGCAACAATTGAATGAGAAAGGAGAGTATCAAAATTAAAATCAACAATAACACTTCTGCATAGCTCTTGTAGGAGGAAATTATATGAAACAAATGTCCGTATCAGGAAATTTCCAGAATCTCTTATTATTTTTTCTCCATTTTAATTTTACATAAACTTAATTATAAGCAAAACTAATGTTTGCACCAGGAAGAAGAGGTACATACGCATTCCAAATAATGGTATGGAATCTGACGAGTTAACATCTCCAACACAGTACAACCAAGGCTCCATATATCAGCAGGAAGTCCATACCCATGACCCTTCTGATTGACAACCTGTACAACAGTTGATAATCAGAATTCAGGAAGACTAGTCATCGTTGGTAGTCTGTGTCGCAAAATATATAACTACTACTGCAGCAAGGGCAAAAAGAACAGTGTGTTTATAGAGAAAAAATGTACTGGAACCCATCCTACTAGGAGATTAAGAATTCAGGTATGGTTTAAGAAAGGGCCAGCAGTGTTTCAGAAAGAGAGAACTGTCATTATAAAAAATTAGCTATCAGTCAATGAAAATTGCCTAACCAAATACTACTTTGCTAGTTTGCTGGTGCCCTAAAAGATAAAAGAAGGGTTCATTGTAAGCTAAATGTTAAGATCCAGGCAATGAATAAAGCCTAGGAAAAAATATGATGGATCAGCAAGAGTGATTTACACCTTTTGCCCACTATACAGATATATCTGCAAAGAAGGTCATCATTCTTTTCATGATCGAGTATTCAGATAACCTGAATACCTACAGTACTCTTATATAGAAGAGAAATATTTACTAAAAATGTATGCCATCATTTCTTTCATAGTCATGAGTCATTATACCTATGCTACACAGCGAAAGATTTCAAGCAAAGGGGTAAAAACAGAGGTTTTCCATTTTCCTATTAGGGGCATAATCGAGTTAAAATTTTTGAGGGTGAGGGATGAAGCTTTACCATTTTATTAATTTATAACTTTACAGTTTCTGCAGGGACTAAACCTTAATACCCATTTTTAGTGGGGAAAAGGGGGGGGGGGGGAGCAGGCAGTGCACCATCCCTGCCCAGGCAGTATCTCTAATATAGAAGAAATTGATATTCTGCACAAATCAAACAGCTATAACGGACTATCACTTCTGAAAGGAAAGAACAGAGAGCCAAACCTCGGGGGCCATCCAGAATGCTGTCCCTTTACATGATTTAACATCATTCAACTTGGTTGCCTAAAAACAAGCACCAGCACCAATATGACCACTACCGTTGATTTGACCATCTTAAAAGCTAAAAAACAAGAAAATGACTGAAGTCTTAGGATTGAATAAAAACCTTTGCCAACCCAAAATCTGCAAGCTTTACTGATCCACTTGCATCCACCAACATGTTTGCACACTTAACATCCCTGTATCACCAAACAAGTAAATGAACCTTGAGAGCAGAATATTCAAAGTTTCTGGTGACTAATGTAGAACATAGTAAAAAACATTTTTATTTTCTCTGTCATAACTCATAACTACAACAGATGCCACATCAGAGAAGAGAACAGAGATAAAGCGGACACCCAACCTTAACCTTAAGGGAAAAGTAAATACAATATAGTAAGTAAAATGCTGAGAAAAACTTCTATGATCAAATTACATCACATTATTGACTCCAAATGTCTTCCAAGAGGATATATAATATATATGCAGACAGATTATGATTCACTACAACAGGTCCCAATAGATATAAGGATTGAAAACTTCTATTGGTGAAGTGATGAAATGTTTATATCATTTTTCATATTTGGCTAGAGTAAAAAACAAAAATTCTAAGTGGTACATAGATAATTGCACAGTAACATAAGGTCGCTTGACTTACCTGTGAACCACATTTCGGTCATGAAGATACTTCAATCCATGCAGAATCTGCCTTGTATATGCAGAGACTTGAGAATCTCTGAGATGATACCTCTGGTATAGGTTTAAAAGAGAGCCTTTGGTTACAAGCTCAAGAAAGATGTATAATTTGGAGTCATCCTGCAAAGACCATCAAATCAAAAGAAAACATTAGACAATAAAGAAGCAAAATTACAAGGTCTATTAAGCCATGGTAAATGTCAGAAGTTAGTACCTTATCTGTGCCATAATACTGAACTATGTTTTCATGTTCAAACTGACTTAAAAGAGCAATCTCCTGGAACAGAAAGGGAATAAATAAATTATATCAGACAGACAAGAAGAAGATGGATATTTTAAGAATATGAACACTTAAGGAATTAAAGACAAAGTCTGACTTACGTGTTCAAGTTGGATAAGACTTTGTTTCCCCTGACTTCCTTGATCAAGCAATGAAACTTCCTTCACGGCAAAAAAGAATCCATCGCTACAAGGAAATGAATTAAATAAATAATTAGTAAAGCATGACTAAATGGAAAAATCTCTTTTCTAAATAAAAGCCAGAGTGCCAGACATAATCTATTGGACAAGTAGATGACAAATTAATTGCTAATAGGATAAAATGGGTTTTCCTTGCAATTTTGGAAATAGTACTAACAGTTATTCCTTATGTCCAGAGAGAAGAAGCCAACAAATAGCTTAGAGGCTAGAGCCTTAGATAATCCAAAAACTCAACAATTTAGGCCATATCTCAAAGATCCTCATGCAATGTGCTTCCCTAGATTTCTTTTTCCAATCTTGAACAAACTAAATTCATACCAAGTGGCAGTGCTACCTCAGATGTTATGCATGTTATTGACAGACTCCCAGAGAATGTGGGTTTGAGAAGGCTTATGCATGTAACGTCCTCCACAGGTGTGTTAAGTAGATAACAGTTGGAAGGGTTAAGAGTAGATTAGGAACTTCAACAAAACAACTAAATTTGTCATCTTGAAACCAGCCATACAACAAGATATCTCCAATGAAGCAGTTCCTAACCAAATAGGATCATTGGAAGCCGTAGACTGTTTGTAAGAAGCACAAGCCTTCATGAGTAAAAGTAATTGATGGACTTAACTCAGCATTCAACATTGAGAAAGGAGTTCATAAATCCACACAAAATGCCAACGGGATTGTATCGATTATGCAAAACTTCAAGCAGAAAACAAAGTAACATTTAAAGGCAAGCACAAGGATAACATTCATCAACCCCTTAAAAGTTTGAGACAGAAGAAACACAAAATGTCCTAATAGTAGTCTCTAATCTCTATTGGTGTAAACTAGATTAATAAACATCTAATAATCTTAAAATGCAGCCCCGTAACATGTAGAACAGTGCTCTCCAAAGAATTAAGGAAAGGGGGAATAGACAATAGGTTGGGGCGGGGTGTAGCTGTGCCTTTCTCAGGATGTTTAACTAACACCAAGAACAACTCTTACCCTTAGATGCTTTCTAATCTATAAAAAAGTGCCGCCCCAAGTGACAAAATGATGATTGTTGCACTTAAGGCGGTACCCAAACTAGTTTGCATACATCAAAAGATAAATTAACTTCATTTTTTTTCAAAAATAACTACCTAGAAGCATTTAACCAAGCCGGAAATGAAGTTGGACAATATATGCCAGACAGTATTTCACCACTTACTCAGAAATCCCTTCGAAAACTGACCCAAATGATCCACGCCCCAGAAGCTCACCTTTCTCCCAATAAGTAATTGTTCTTTTGAACCTACCATTAGGGGAAATAGTTGACGTAGGCTCTGTAGTAGAACTTGATGAATCTTCATCATTTGAAGTAGTAGACAAACACGACTCGGAAAGAGCTGCAGTCTCACCAATTCTCATTAAATTCTCCTCCTCAGAATTTTCTTCATTACCCCCACCCTCCTCTCCTTCAACTTCTTCTTCATCGGAAGATGAATGTAATTGAACCGGAGCCATACACCCTTTGCCACCTTCGGGGGCGAAATCCCTAAACAGATCCCAATTTGAACACGCGTTATCGATTACCAGTAGTTTCATCACCGGCGGCGGCTTTATTATAACCGGTAGCCTAGTCCCTTTAATTCCATTACTCCCTCCGCCATCGGAAACATTCGAAGCCCAAGATGCGTTTGACTTCAACTCAGTAGCCATAACCCTCTCGGCTAATTCAGAGACTATTACTTGAGTGTCATCTTTTATCTTGTCTGTCTCTTCCTTAGGACTATCCAGCCGGTTCAATTTGGACCGAAGCGGAACATCCGACGACGACGATCGATTTCTACGGGCCTCCCAAGCGGCAGCTGGAATTGAAAAATCTTCAGGCCCGGAAAGGCCCAAGGTCCGACAAATAAGGTCGAACTCGCCGTCGGTTCCTTGGATACGGAAGCTGGTTTTTTGGGACAAATCTAGCGATCGCGTGATTAGAGAAGAAGAAGAGGAATCATCGAGAGATGAAGAAAACGACGCTGCATCATAGTCGATGTGCTTCGCTGCATTGCGGCGCTCGAGTCTCGGCTTTCTTCGGCCGCCTTTCGATCCCATTGAGCTTCTATAACTAAGGAATCGATTTAAATGATGCATATGGAGCCAAATCCATCTAAAATCTCTATAATTGAAGTAATCTAGGCTTACCAAAATAAGAATTTAAAAGTAAAACGTAACTTTTTTTCCCCGCAATTTTCCTAGGAAAAAATTGGAGAGAAATATTGAAGCGAAAAGGAGCCGACTCGACGAGAGCGAGAGAAAAGAAATGCTAAAATGGGAGACAGAGAGACTGGTAAACGCCGTCGCGATGGATATAGAAAGATAAAGAGATAATACGCGGTGCCACGTGGAAAACATTAATTTTGGAGAATTAAATTACACAAACAGTCACCAAATTTTGTCAACTTTCATTTTTTACCAGTAAAGTTCGAAAACTTATGTTATAATCATTGTTATTATTAATTTATAATAAAATAGTATCATGGAATTGACGTAATATTTTCATAAAATTTAATATATTTTAATAATATTATAGGTAAAAATTTTAAGATAATGTAGCGGGAAAATAAAATTTTTCAAAATTATTTTTTAAATAGGGTACATGTTATAATGTTAATCGAAAATCGTCAAAATTATTTGACATCTTTTGGAACATGTCCAAAAAATACAACACCTTCCCGTATTAGGTCTCGTTCTTGTTTTCGTTGTATTCTCAAGCTTCATTAATGACTTGTGCTTTTTTGTCACCTCCGATCAGCTCCTCTGTCACTTCAAAGACACCAACAATCTAAACTTTATAAATGGTGTCTGTTCCTCCAATGTCTCCGATCAATTCCTCCGCAGCTCAAAGACACCAACAAACGACATCACTGTTTTCACACTCAAAGTCATGTATGGTTGTTGAAAAGACGTAAAAATTACATGTGTTTTCATGAAGACGTTAAACATGCTTATTCTTTAATTTGAGAACATCCTAGTTGAGAAAATAAACTTCAATAATCCTTATTTGATGAATTTTTTTCACTTCATTATTTAGGTAATTTTACTAATATTATAACATGTATGATAATTTTATTAATAAAAAATATTAATTTTATTTATTATAAAAAATATATTAAGTATAAATAAAAAATAAAACAACATAAAATTATAACTCATCAAATTATTATTATTTGTTTATTGATATTTGAGCAATCATTTCGACGTTAATGACTATAATATAATTTTTAACTTTAATAATAATAAATACTTAAATTTTAGTGATCCTTGATATAATTTATTCAATTTTAAAATGATTGTTTTAGTTCGATTTTGAATAAAATCATTATTCAAATTATGTATTTTTTTCTCGTATAAATATTTAGTATATGAAATATCAAATTTGTTGAATTTAAAAAAGAGACTTTTCTCAAAGATCACCCTAAAAAATATTATTTATCGAAATGTTGAGTTGTACTACGTGACAATAAGGCACGTTCTATAGAACGTATTTTGCCAAGGTGATATCCGACTCAATAAAGATGCGTTCTACATGAAGTACCTTATGCTAATCTGGCAGTCCACCTGGAAGGAGGTTTCTACAGAACGCGTCTTTGTTGAGTTTCTAATGTTCTCGTCTTTTTTTTCTCACCCTCTCGTTTGCTGCCTCTTCCCCTCCTTTTCTTATGCCTTTTACCCTCTCCCAACTTCTATATAAACTCTCCCCCTCCTCACAAATCCCACCATCTACTTTATCTATTTTTCTCTCTTATTTTCTTCTTCTACAAACATTTTAGAATGTTCAAGTTACAATTCGAGTTGTAAGTATTTTTTTTATATTTAATAAATTTATTTAATTTTTACTTAATTTTAGTTACTAATTTTTTAAATGTGCAGTTAAAAAATAGTTAATATGTTACGAATGGATGCAAATCATATAACTCATCTATGAAATAAAGTAAGAATATTTTATTAAATTTTATTTGATAAATATTTAATTATTATTTATTTTTTCTTATGTTTTATTAAATATATTAAATTTTTATCAATTAGGATAATGATCGTATATTAGAAGTGTTTATTCATAACACTAAGATGCCCACGTCGACTCATATTTGGAGTTACTTAAGAGATGATGGATTTAGGTATGTATCCCCAATAATTGGAGGTTGTAAACTTCAACCCACCCTCGTTTCTGCACTAATAGAGAGGTGGAGACCGGAGACACATACACTTCAACCCACCTTCGTTTATGCACTAATCAAGAGGTGGAGACCGGAGACATATACATTCCATCTTCATTGTGGGGAGTGCACCATTACTCTAGAGGATGTTTCAAAGTAGTTAGGACTCTCGGTAGATGGACATGTTCTTACTGGTGTGACTATTAATAATTATGGTGCTTTGTTCCACGAGTATGTAGGAAATATCCTGGATGGGTTCAACGATATTTGAATCTCATTAATGTGGCTCCAAAATAATTTTAGAGAGTTGGACGAAGACTATTTTGAAGATGAGGCACAAGCATTTGCTTAGATTTATATTTTATGGATCATATGAGGGATATTGATGCTCGACAAATCTCGCAACTAAATGCATGCCATATGGTTGTATCACCTCGTTAATTTTGAAGAAGCAAACACGTTTAGTTGGGGATTGACAGTTTTAGTCTTTCTCTTTAAAGAAATATGTCGAGTGACGAATCATACCAAAAATTCTATTGGTGTTTGTCTTCTTCTACAATCATAAGAGTGATATTGCATGCATTTTTTATGTCCGCGTCTTGTGAACGAAACATTTGTTTTCTCTTTCTTACTAAGGTAATTTCAATACTCAATTTATTTATAAATAAATTTAATTTTTATTATAAAACCAAGTAAACTATTTTTTAAATTAAATAGATGGTCATTAGTGAAAAATCATTGTGAGATCACTAATGAATTAAAAGATATCAGGTTATTAATCGAGCAAAAATCAAGTACATAGGTATACTTTTTATTATTAAATTCTTTTATTTAATTATAGTTATAATTAGAATCTTATTTATATGTTGACAATAACATTTTTTCTACAGTTCCAATGGATGTCTTATATGAATGAAGAAATGAGAGATTGCATCTCACCTAACTTGAGTGGCCCATTGAACTTATGACATGTGGTCATGCCTCTTATATGTTATGTTATTGTTGAGTGGCATCTGAATGACTGTGTGATTCACCAGTATGGTTCGTACAATTTATTCCAGAAGCACATGTGAATCTCGATTGTATGCATAATCTTGATAGACGAGGCAAGCCTGATGTTGATTGGAGGGAGAAGCACAACGAGTGAATAGTGATGAGGGAGAACCAATATGAACATATTCTCGTTCGTCATTATATTTTGAAAATTGGTTAGGCAATTTCATATGAATATATATATATATATATATATATATATATATATATATATAGAGAGAGAGAAAATCTGAATATATATCATGGTTTAAAGAAAACGGGAAGTCGTTAATACTTTTTGATGAGGCAAGAGACATGTATATTCATCGTAGTCGGAAAAAAAGTCCATCGACACAAAATCATCATCTCCTGACTAATCTTGGATAAAGAACAAATACTTCAGGCTCGTATTCTACAACAGCACCAGAAACACCACATCATCAACCATTTGGATTGATGTTTAAGACGTCAAATTACATCTTGAGCCTGCCAGTTTACATGCCGAGACTGCAAGGTTATATGTCGAGCCCCCAGAGGATATTATACTCCTATAGACCCGATGTTTGCTTCATATGCATCGTATCTGACGGGTGGTTCTCCTCCACCAACAATAACATCAACATTGTATGCAGCCCAATCATCGATATCATTTTTTCACAATATTCGTAGATCACAGTAATCAATGGGATTGTTGATCACACACCTTTGCATTCGTTATTCCATGGAGACCCTTCTTCAACATCCGGTTCAACCCAACAAGATGAAGTTGATGTCGATGAAGATGATGAGAATGAAAATGAATGACAACCTAGACAAAGAAATCATGTTCGAAATAGACAACCATCGCCATGTGGAACGCATTCACGAATAATGCATCGTTAGTTTATATAATTTTATCTTCTTAATTTTTATATTAATTTAGGGTTTTTAAAGTTAATTTTGAATTAAATTTTAGATATTTAATATTATATCCGAATTAATTTTTTATGTTATAACCGACTATTATATTTTTTATATTTAATTTTTATGTTATATACATTTAATGTTATATCTTATAAATTATTTATTTTTAAAAAAAAATAAAAAATTATTGGTATTATATCCAAAGTTGGTGTCACGTCACTTGTGGAAACTCTACCTATTCTCCTAGATACGACGTTTGTATAAAGAAAATGTATTGACACTAAAACCACTAGCATAAAAAAACGACTTTCAAATTTTAGTTAAAAATATTTTATCTGAATATCAAATTAATTTATTTCAATGGTTAAATGAATAATTGTTATTTTTAAATATTTCAGGTTTGAGCATCAAAGATTGTAAAAATGTTTTAACTTTGGTAATCAAATGATTGAGAATCTTTAAAAGAAATACTACTAATATCACTTTAAATTAATTAAAACAATATTTCATTTGAGGAATGAATAGTCTATCTATTGCCTCTTATTAGAATTTATTTTTATCTCATATTTATTTTATGGAGCTAAAGTTTTGTGTGTGTGTGTGTTTGGTGATCGCAACTATTATTTGAAAATTCAATAGATATCTGTAACGAAAGAAGCCGCGGTTTATCAGTATGGTCATTTCAATGTAAGCAGGTCAAAAACTATATTTGTTTGTTTTTCAGTTTGAATACAAGAAGCTTCAACTCGTAAAACCCACTATGTAATATTTTTATGTAGTCAAAATTTTGAATTTTAATATCTGATCTCAATTCTCAATTTTTAGCCACCGAAAAGGAAAATTTTGTTTTCCCCCTCTGACATGAATTAAAATAAGATAGCTTAATTTGGATGAAGGAAAAATACGTCCTTTTCCTATTTATATGTTGGTACGTCTGATCATGTGGTACATTGTTCGTAGACATATACACATATATTATATTGGGATTATTGTTATTGACTTTTTTCTTTTAGTTTGAATTTATTTTTTATATAATGTATAAAACAATCATAATTTATTAAAATAAATTAAAGATATTTACAATTCATCAAGTGATTTTAGTGATAGAAAAAAGTGAATATGTATTCAAAATCTTTCTTAATAACTAAAAATATACACATACCCTAAAGACACAACTACTTAAAATATAACCTAACATGAATTATAGAAATATTGAAAAAAATACCATTTAAAAAATTAAATATTTTATGAAACACACTTCATATACTTAATTTTATTAAAAAACCATTCAGAAGTATAGAATTTTTGGGGAAGGGAGAGGGTGGAGGGGAAGCATAGTCTTGGCCTGAGGTGACTGTAGAGTGGCTCCTTGTATGGTCACATGGATTCCTCCTCAAACCTGAAACACAGAAGAAGATTATTTTATGAAAAAAGAAACTATGCCGTTTTCCTCGGCTTTAATAGATCTTTCATCAGAATCTCCGGTTTTTCATCAGCCTTTTGTCATCTTTGTCACTTTATTGTCCCACCCCGTTATTATCTAATCAAAACCATACTCATCTCTAATTGCCCTCGTCCGTTTCATTTGGAGAATTTACCAGAAATATATAATTTACAAAGTTAATTACTCCAAAGACCAAACAGCCCTTTATTTAATCATTTATTTTAATGTGGTTGGCCAGGGACAAGACAAAATTTGATACCCTTTTCACGATTTTAGATGTTGGAGTTTGGACCCACTGGTTTGCCTTAATTTCCCGATGTTGTTTTTCTTTTTCCTGATAATATAAAAAGAACATTAATTTAGTATTAAGATGTATCAGATTGATTTTAATTTTGAAAGCCGAAAGCACCACTCCTCTGTGTTATAGATTTATTTTGATAAATAATGTGTGATTTGATCATGTTTACCATTTTAGGTACAAAAAACTCTTTATCTTGAAACAATAATGTTTGTCTTTGCGTTTCTCTTTCTCTCTCCTACTGGCTTAGAGAATCTCTCTCTGGTTCAGCAACTGGTCTGAAATGTAATCTCACGTGCAGCATGCCGTAGCTTTTTGTTGTTTTTTCAAGGATTAAACATCTTTTAAAAAGGTCATCAGCTTTCTTTCATGGGGGGAAGAGCCGATGATAAAAGGGGGACTTTGTTTGGTCTTTTGGGTGTGTAATGCTTTGGGCTCTTCATTAATTCTCTCATTTTGGGCTTCTTTGTAGGGAACACCTCTCTCTTTCTCAATTCTCAGCTTTCAGCTCTTACAATTACAAGAGATTCACTTTTCGTGCGACTCTGAGAAACAACTTAAATAGAGAGATTGCAAGCGTAACAAGGATCTGGATTCTTGCAAAACATGGCATTTGAAGCTGTGGTTTACCCTCCAGATCTATTTATTTATGGTTTCAAGGACCACTTTCCCGGAGTAGGAGCCTGGGGTTATGATTTTTGCTTCCAAGAAGAAGATAAACCTCCTACTGCAATTCTTGAAAGCAACTTAGAACAACAAGAGGATCATCATCTCAATGCAAATTGGGACTCCTCGTCTACTTCAGTCATTCAACAACATCCAAATGAACTATGGGATCCTTACTCTTCTTCCCCCGAAGTTTGCACTGTCGATCAGTCTCTCCCCGGCCCTGCAGCCGGGGCTTTCCAAGCTCTGATGGAACCCCCACCAACTTACACTGCGACGGCGAGGACTAACGGCTCCAGACGAAAACGTCATCGTACCAGGAGCATCAAGAACAAAGAAGAGCTAGAGACCCAGAGAATGACTCATATTGCCGTTGAACGCAATCGCCGGAAACAAATTAATGAGTACCTGGCTGCGATCAGAGCTTTGATGCCACCTTCTCATGTTCAAACGGTCAGTTTTTATCTCTCTCTCTCTCTTACTTTTCCCCCCCACTTTTTCTTTGATAATTTCGATTAATGAAGTAATAATTAACCTTTAAAACAAGTTTAGATAACCCTAACCTACCACTTGGATTATTAACATATTATAACCATTTTTGCTTATGAACCGTGAAAGGCATTGGCTGAGAAAAGTTAATAAACTCCTGACTTTCATGAATCATGGAGATCATTTAGATTCATAGACTAGGTCAGCTATGCATCTATCTCTATCGGACAACAAAATTATAGTACTAATATATGCATGAACCATTTTCAGGGTGATCAAGCTTCGATAATTGGCGGAGCGATTAATTTCGTGAAGGAATTAGAGCAGCTCTTGCAGACCATGGAGGCTCATAAGTGGACCACTCAACAGCCAGAACCCAATGGCAACCTTTCTCCCTTTGCCGAGTTTTTCACCTTTCCACAATTCTCAACTCGTGAGACGTCTCAGTGCAACGATTCACCGTCGTCCATGGCGGCTGATTGGCCCATGGGATCTGCCGAAAGCGTGGCGGATATCGAAGTGACCATGGTTGAGACACATGCCAATCTCAAGATACTCTCCAAGAAACGACCCAGACAACTCTTGAAACTGGTTGCCGGGTTGCAAAGCCTGAGCCTCACCATTCTCCACTTCAATGGCTCGACCGTCGAGGAAATGGTTTTGTATTCAATTAGCGTCAAGGTAATAAGAACAATACCAGCCAATAATTTACTCCAATTTCATCACCATCTCAAATTATAATTTCATTTTCTGGGCAGGTTGAGGAAGGGTGCCATCTGAACACTGGATGAAATTGCAGCTGCCGTTAATCAAATGCTGCGCAGAATCCAAGAAGAAGCTGCTTTCAGCTGAGACATTTAAAGCCTAAGTTTTTTCTCCTGCTGTAACTGATCAGGAAGGGACCATTGTTGTTTGTTATCATATTTTGTTTCAAGCATTAAACTTTTAATATATTTCCTTCATGTATTTCGAACAACATACAGTGTAGGGAGTACAATATTTCCTCTAATGTAATTTGACCATGGATAAATCAGATTATGTCTTATTATTACAACTTTGGTAAATACAAAAAAAGTTTCACAAAACTGTGCCCCATCAGCTACAGTGCAGAGAAATGGACAGAATTTTATTACTTTAATTCTCATAGAAATAAAAAATCAAATAATTAAGACACTTTAAGACATAGACGCCCATATCTTCCGGCCGGCTTCTTTTGACAAGATTAACGTATTTTGTATAGTTCAAAGTAACATAAAAGCTGGGATATATTTGACCCTATTAATTAAGGTAATAAATTTAAGATTTGAATTTAGTGACTTTAGTGGAAAAAAAAAGTGAATATGTATTCAAAATCTTTCATAATAACTAAAATATATACACATACCCTAAAAGCACAATTATTTAAATTGAAAAATTTTAATAAAAATAATATTTTTTTTTATTATTGAGGTCGTTTATAAGATGTATTCGCATCAGTTTTAAAGTTTTTAGAATTATAACAAAATCAATTCAAATTATGATATAGTGTAGAGGAAGAAAAATAAGTTATTATTAAAATAAATGAAATTATTAATATTGGATGATAATTTTAATTTAAAATAGAATATAATACATTTAAAAAATTTATCCGAAGATCATTGGTGTACAAATTAATTTTAACGTAACAAATTAAAATTATTATTAAACTATTATAACTAATAATATTAATTTGGTTCAAATTAGAGAACAGTAATTTATATTTAAAATATTAATATGATATTTAATAATTTTGAAAAAATAGTTTTTAAAGAATTATTTTAATATATCAATAAAAGAAACACACAAGAAATTTGCACCACCGTCATTGAAACAAACTAAAGAAACAAAACCCTAATTTCTTATAGGATTCCAAAAAAGAAAAGAAAAAAAAAATTGGCAATTTTTTTGCTTTTCCGCTTCACTTTCACTCCCACTGGAACTCTCTCGTTTTCTTTCTCATTATCCTACATCGTTATTACCCCTTTTCATTTTTCCTGGAAAATTAATCGCGTTATTTGGATTGGGATGACGGTTATTTAAAAAACGGTTACGTTAATTAGACAAATGCCAAAATCGTAGCGGAGGCTAGGGTTAGGACTCTCCCGTTTCTTTCATTTACCCTCGTTATTTTGTCTAGAAAAATAATTTTTATTCTTTGCCCCTTTCGGTTCAAACTCTAGCGTTTGGGAACTTATAATTGAAAATTTAATCCAGGATTCTCAATCTTACTCCAAATTTATTGTTATTTTAGAGTTATTTTCCTGATTGAACTGCTTTATGAGAGTTTGCTATTATCTTGGATCCTTTATTTTCATTTATTGGAAATTATGAGGGTCATTTGAAGCCAGAAAATCAGCAATATTCAAACCAATCTTTTAACCAAAGATGGTGATAAAGGGATAGAGCTAACCAAAATATAAAATCCTTATTTTAATGGTTTCACGCTTAAAATTCTGTTCCTTTTGATCAAACAATTCCTTCTCTTCCATTTGTTGAACATCCCATTAAATCCTTGAAGTTACTGAAAACCTTGGTTTAGTTGAGTTGAATGACTAGCGACAGGGTTAAGAGTTTGTGATTTGTCTATGAATATAAATTAATTTGTTGGGTTAGGGTTTGAAGAAGGTTCCCCCCCCCCCGATTATCATGTGCAGTGTCCATTATGGAAAGAAGTGAACCAGAATTAGTTCCTGAATGGTTGAGAAGTACTGGCAATGTTAGCGGGGGTGGCAATTCAGCCCACCACTCCGCTTCCTCCTCTTCTCTCTCAGGTATCCTTGTAAATACCCATTGCGTTTCTCCTTATATTTGTACTTGATTACAATTTACTGTTTAAACTGTATCTCCTATATGCTCTGTTTCTTTCCATTTTTATGTCTTATGTCTTTTTTGATTGCAGTAATACCAAGTAGTTGTCATAATAGGAACTTTTGTATTTGTCTTTGGGAATATATAATGACTCCATTCTTGATGTTATATTAGATGTTTCTTCATCGGTGCATCGTGGGAGAAGTAGAATCTCTAGGAATATTAGTGATTTTGATTCCCCTAGTTTTGCATTTTTGAATCGGGCATCTTCGTTGAATTCACGGAGGAGTTCTAATAATGGTTCTTCAAGGCATGCTTATAGTAGTTTTAGTAGGAGTCATCGTGATAAGGATCGAGAATGGGATAAGGAGAGGTTAAGCTTTGGTGTTCGTTGGGACAGTGATTCTTCTGACCCTTTAGAAAGTATTTTAACGAGTAGTGTTGAGAAATTAGGAGGTATCTCGACCTCTAAGGTGGAGACAGATACATTTAGGCAGTCTCATTCTATGGTCTCTAGGAAACAGGCTGAGACTTTCCCTCAAAGGACTGCAGTGGACTCAAGAGACAGTGGTAATAGTAACAATAACAATGGCAATGGTCTGGTTTCTGGGGGTGCTATTGGGAGTAGCATCCAGAAGGCTGCATTTCGGAAAGATTTTCCCTCTCTTGGAACAGAAGAGATGCAATCGGTGCCTGAGATTGCTAGAGTTTCATCTCCTGGTTTAAGCTCAGTTTCTCAGTGTTTATCCGTTGGCAATTCAGCTTTGATTGATGCGGAAGGATGGACCTCAACTTTGGCAGAATCACCTACTGTGGTTGGAAGTTGTAGCACAGGTTCCTTGCCTGTCCCCCTAGCTGTTTCCACCCCAGTTTCTGGGGCTCCAAGTGTCACATCTGCTCCTAATATGGCAGTAGCACTAGCTCAAGCCCCTTCACGAGCACGTGCTGCTTCCCAGGTAACAGGCTCATACAGTTCTTATTGCATGTATAAATTATAACTTATATCTGTGATTAACTAGACAGTAGTATTTGATACAGTTATCTGTCAATACTCAAAGGCTTGAGGATCTGGCCATTAAGCAATCAAGGCAACTAATACCAGTGACACCTTCAATGCCTAAGGGTTCGGTAAGCTATTTGCCTTCTCTTTCAGAAAAATATGGTTCTCTAGCGCTGTTTAATATGTAGTTTTACGTGTATTAAACAATTTTGGTTTTCTTCCCTCTTCTTTCTGCCTTTTTGTACATCATTTATATCGATCAGACATTGTATAATGAATATTTCTTTATGTCTAACTCCTGTCTATCTGCATTTAGGTTTTATATATTATGTGAAAACTTAATTCTGTTACATATGTCATATGTGCTGGACCATATCCTTCTTTGAACAAGTTGTCTATCAGGCGATATCACAAAAATTTTGATAAAAAAGATGCACGTTCTTTTTGTTGGTCATACTAATTCACATTTACAATGGCTTGGTGAAAACAATATACTGTTTTTGGTTTGAGATGCATTATGATGACCATTTTTTGTTTTTCCTGACTTAGATTTTGTTCTTGCTTCCTAGTTTTTATTTCTCTTCGAGATTGAATGCTTGTCTTTGTCTTTCAGTTAGGTGCATCAATAGAAAGATTAAGCAGTATGGAAACCCGAATTTATGTTCTTCATTTTATGTCATTCCTCAGCCATAGAAGATCTGCAGGTGATGTAGTTAAGGGGAGAAACCAGCAACAAGTAAAATAAATAAGGCTGAATAGATGAGTAAGAAAGAGGATGGAACTTTAGAGAACCTAGGGTTGTTAAAACCTCTATCTCTCTATTAAATCAAAGAAAAATATAATAATTATTATCTTGGATGTAAAACCTACAACTTATTTATATAGGCTTGCTTTCTAGCAAGCAAAGTTATAATTAACCCTAGATTTTAACCCTAAAAGTACTTAATAGCCGTAGCCTTAGCTGTGTATCACATGTTTAATAATTAATATATATTATATCCATTGGAAACGGTTTGGATCGTTATTTTGCCCATACGGTCAGGTTATTGACGCCTTCATTCCAACTAAAAGAAATTCAAAGGGGGTACGTTTCGGTTTCATTCTCTTTGCTACAATTGGAGAAGCACGGAGAGCGATCTCAAAGATGAATGGCGCTCGCATTGATGGTAGTAAAATTGGAGTCTCTTTTTCTAAATACAACACAAGACATTCTTTTTGGAGAAAGTCTTCGCCAGTTGTCCACCTAAAGCCCGAGAGAGAAAATGTTACAAGAAATAATCTCTATACAGTAAATGGTGTTGTTGACGAAGCTAAACTTCAAGTTTTGGATAACTGCCTAATAGGGTGGTGCAAGAATTATACCAAAATCGGTGATCTTGCTAGCCAAATGCAAGACAAAGGACTCAACGGTTTCTCGTTAATGAGAGCTGCTGGGAATGTAGTTCTCATGATATTCGAGGATTCTGATACGTTGAGAAGGGTTAAGAATGAACAATCAGAGACTCTTGCAGGGTGGCTTTCTAGAGTTGAAGTTTGGTCGGAGAATCTAGTGGTAGAATGCCGTCGAGTATGGGTAGTTTGCGAAGGGATTCCTTTTCACGAGTGGAATTGGGGTACTTTCAAGAACATTGTGGCTAGGTGGGGCAAATTAGTATCAATTGATGAAAGCTCTCAATTTCCTTCATCTTTTGATCGTGCAAAACTTCAAATCCTCACAGAGACTAAAGTAAGGATTGATGAGTCCTTGAGTTTGAAGGTCGGTTCTAATTCTTTTGAAATCATGGTGCATGAAGTTGAGCCTTCTTTCAAACCAAACTCTTGGATCCCTGAGGAAGTCGATGATTCTCCAGATCTGAATTGTTTTCTCGGGGCAACGTTGGAGAATTCTCTGTCAGGATCGTCAGTGTCATCCCCAGGTTTAAATAGCCCCGTCGAAGATGTTGCAATTGAAGGTCCCCACTTATAAAAGGTTTCACTCATAAAGAGTGTCATAAGCGATGAGAAACCGAGTAACAAATTGGTGTTGCACACAATGGAGGCTGTGGATCATTCAAAATTAAATATCGTGGAGCATCTAGCTAATAAATCAGTTGATCATTCTGATGGTGTTAGCCTCAGGGCCTCGGAAGATGCTCTTATGATGGGTCTCATTACTTCTCATGGTTCATCTACTGACACATTTCAATTAAAGGAAGATATCCCAGTGGTGCCCCCTATCCCTGCGAAATTAAGAACTAATCGTGTGGCGAAGAAATGCAAGACAAAGAAAAGAGTTCTGAATTTATTGGCAAGGAAACATTGATTGAAGGGAAGGAAGTGTGGTTTTGGTTCATTAAAGATAATTATCGAGCTGATTTTTTTGGTGATTTTGATACATGTTGGTATTTTTGTGGAGTTCCCTTCAAAGGCGGATGTTTTTGGTTTAATGGTTTTAGGTGTTGTTTTTATGTATGTTATGTCATTAAATGTTGGGTTGTTTTCCTATTGATGGAGGTTTATCTTAGGTATAGGGTGATTGCCTTTTGATTTTTGTGGTCGAGAAGGTGAGAGCTTTAGGTGATTATGTTTTTTGTAATGGTGTTTATCCTCGTTTGAGGGTATTTCGTGTTTTCATATGTAATGAGGCGTTTTATTCAATGAAATATGAGGTACTCTTTTCTTCCTTCCTATGTTCGTTAACATACTTCTTAGTATGTGGACGAATACGAAGTGAGTTTTTAATGAGACCTCCAACTTCTATAAAAAAAATAAAATAAAACTGAAATAATAAATATTATAAAATAGATACTAGCTCCTACATCAGAATGCCAAGCTAGATATTCTGTTTGCTCTTTGGATAAGGCTCCGATGCAATTTGTTTAATGAATACTATCAATTAAATACAGTCAATGATGATGAATAGTATTACTTTTCAAGGAGCCTATCACCATCTTCTTGATGGATTACAATTTAAATAGAATAAAGGTTATTCTAGACCTGTTCATCCATCACCTAAGCAACTCGTGTCTTTTCCAACGCTGGTTTCGTTATGCTGGATATAGAGTTGTGCTGCTTTTGTAAATTTTCATTGAAATTTTAAATGCTAAGATTAGCCAAAGTTAGCTAGTTTGCTGTCTGCTCATGAAGTAGCTCTAACTTTTCCTTGCATTACCCATCTACTGCATGTATAAAAGAACCACTCATTAATAGTTATCTATTCCAGGTAATAGACATCCAAAAGTATCAGGTAATAATTACCTAATTTCTGATCAGGTTCTCAATTCAGTGGATAAATCAAAAGCCAAACCAGCATCAAGAACAAGTGATGTGAATATGGCTGTGAAGAGTGGGCAGCAGCAGCCTTCTTTTATTCATAATGGTAATCAATCTCCTCATAGTACACATTTCAAGTCTGATATGCAGAAGACATCCGGTAAGCTTTTGGTTCTCAAACCAGGATGGGAGAATGGGGGCTCATCACCTACTAAAAAAGAGACTTCCATTCCAACAACAACTGCAAACAGCAGAGTTATTACTAGCCAAAGTGTCATTTCTCCTATTTCATCGGCTGCCGCAAGAAACTCAAGTAACTCAAAGCTTTCTGTCGGGGAGCCCAAGGTAGCTTCCTTGGATCCAATAGCTGGGTTCAATTCGGAAAAGAGGCCTTCTTTGGCTCAAACTCAGAGCCGAAATGATTTTTTTAATCTCCTGAAGAAAAAGACCCCATCAAACTCTTCTGCTGGTCTCTCAGATTCAGACACTCATATTTCATGTTCTACCACAGTGGAATCTGATGTTACAAAGGAAATAGTCGGTGCTTCTGTGACAGCTCATGCTAATAAGAAAGGTTCTGCAGCAACTAGCAATGATGATGTCTGTCAAGAGCCTCAAAGATTTTCTAATGATGACAAAAAGGATTTTAGCTCCACTGCTATGGTTCATTCAGATGAAGAAGAGATTGCATTCCTTCGGTCTCTTGGCTGGGAAGAAAACTCCACCGATGATGAAGGCCTTACAGAGGAGGAGATCAATGATTTTTACCGGGAGGTAAGATACATCTTTCTTCTTTTTTGCTGGTCCTTCCCTTATATAACAGATTTTATTCAATAAATTTTTCATGAAAGTTACTTTGATTTGTTTCCTAGTATTATTGTTCCTAATAATCCTTGAAGCATATATACCAAAAATTAATAGAGCTGGCCATAATCTATCTATTGGATGGTAAAACATAATGGAATATGTTTTTTTCTTTATAGCCATTGAATGGTTTATTTGGAGCTGGTCATTTATCTATTGGATGGTAAACATAGTGGAATATGTTTTTTCTTCTTTATAGCCATTGGATTGTTTATATGGAGCTACTTACTCATTGTTTAAAAGAAGGGCATGTTACAAAAGATATAAGTAGTTAAGAAATATTTCTTATGTCATTTGCTTATCGTGGCTATTAATTTAGTTTTTGCAGTATATGAAACTAAGGTCGTCAATGGAACTCTGCAATGGCATTCTGTCAAAGCTGGCTGAATCTCTCGCGACCAAGTTGAATGGAGCTTCTTCTGAATCAATCCCACCTGACTCCAGATCAGAATCTTGATTACTTTTATGTCCTTGCACAGTAAAACCCAAAGACATTCCAATTTTTTTAATTGCAGATGATTAGGTCCCCGTTCTGTCTCACGTTATCTCTCTTTTGATGTCTTCTGTTGGAAAGAAAGTTGATAAGTTTGGCAGGGAAGGGGTAGAGTTTTGTTTATTCTTTCGAAGGTTTGTTGGTTAGAGGATCGTCCTTTTCTTCCAAGAGGCTTCGATTTTTTTCTATTATACGTTAAGAAGACGAAAAAATCAAATCAAAGGTTCCATTTTTAGTTTGGTTCATCTTACATATTCATTTTTCATGCTTTTTCGTTTTCATTTAGTGCAATTTACTGCATGGTTCCTAGTATATGGCAAGTAAAACATTAGCTGCATTGATCTTTTCCAATGAGGGCATAGTAAGCATCAACCGTGGCAGCAGGACTTATGGTACTTCAGTTTTAATAAACTTGTACATGGTATATTAAGGGATGGAATGCATGTTCGAATCGTAAAAATAATCATGGTATGTGAATGGAAATAATCATAAATTTTGAAGACGAATCGTAAAATAAATATAGATAAAGAAAATGTACTCAAGCTTGCTCGGTTTAATTTTTGCTTGAATTAAATTAGTTCAAAAAAAATATTGAAATTTTGATTCCAGTTGAAATTGGAACTCAAGCCCCTCGTTCAACTTTGAACTTTTAAAAACTTGGTGGTGTCTGCCAAATTCCATCACTGTGCATACAGTTAAAGCACAAGTAATATTGCAGTCCCATTAGGCAAAACCGATAACAAAAAAATTAATAATTTGATATCTATGGATTAATTGCATAAAACCCTGTTAAGACAAAAATCCTAAAACATCATTTAAGACACCCCGTCCCATGTTTATAGATGAATGGTGTATTTAATAAAACTTTAGATTTTGTCAGTTCCATGAGTTGTTTCTGTTAAGCTTTTACTTCAATCCACATTCCACTTGCATCTTAACACTAGTAATTCATACATTTTAACACCTAAAAAACAAAATAATTTCGTTATGTTAAGTCGTTTTGCCTCACTGTGAATTTCGTCTTAAATCTTTTAATTTTCCTTTGATACGACCAAAACAAGTATTGTTAAAATTGTTTGAATCGGTAGGATTGAGAAATGAATATTTTTATTAATTTTTTCTATCTTTTATGTTTTTTCAAAAAGTTGAGGGGCCGACAGCATCGTTTCAGAATCACCAAAATGGATAAACAGGATTCATAATGGGGTAGTAGAATCCGAAATTCTGCTCAACTTGACTTTGCTTCAAGTCTTCGTTGAACATCTCTAAGAAAAATACCGGCATTATATATCCAGGCCTTTTCGAAGTCCCGCTTTGCATCACATGATTCAACAAGTTCCTGTTATTAGTTTGGTCATTTGCGATACTCGTGTAATGATCATTGCCAACTGTAGGCCATCCAGTTTCGGCTATGGCGATACTTACACTGCCGAAGTTGATATTTTCAAGAGCAGAATTGTGAGCATTGACCATCGCGTCGAAGAGGTTGTAGTAGTCTAAGCCTGCATCGATCACCACCGGTGTGGTTGACGTGAACAAAGCAAATTCGGCTGAAATATGAGTGGGGTCTGAAGCGTAGGCGAAGTAAGGGTACACGTTGATCATGACGGGTGCATCATGTTGAGCCAGAATGGTACTAGGGATGTAAATGAGACGAGACAGATCGCGAGCTACTCGAGATCAACTCGGTCAAGGCTCAATAAATACTCGGATTGAATGGACTCGAACTCGAACTCGACTCGAATTCTTAACGAGCCGAAACGAGCTACTTGATACTCGACTCGAAAAGCTCGTGAGCAGCTCGAAAATATATAATATATTAAGATTTTATTTTTTAAAAAATAAATTATTAATAATATTAACATTTATGTGTTGATTTTTTTTAAATACAATAAGTCTTTCATGTATTTAAGGTTCAGGTTCGAGTTTGAGGATTCAATCTTGTTAAGTTTAAGATTTTTTTTTTTCATTTCGAGCATTTTCGAGCTGCTCACGAATCGTTTACACCCCTAGTCGCGACGCTGGTCATAATCGGCAACGAATTGTTTTGTGAAAGCGCCTGTAGAAGGGGGATACGGGGCACCTAATGCAGTCCCCGATATCACGGTCGTGACCATAATTTCTAGCCCGACCGAGGCAATAACATTTATGATGTTGTTCATGGCACCAGGAACAGAAGAGCTCAGTGGTCCCGGAATGACTTCGTTGCCGATGGTGATCCATTTGAAATCAACATCATCCTTGTAAGGGACAATGTTCGTGTTAACCCAGTCATTGGCTGCACTTTGATCAGCAGCGAAGTTCGGTATGTCCTCATTTCTCGATCCCATGGCGACGAAAAACCCCGACCCCCTTAATGCTTCGAGCACTTCAGGGTAAGGCTGATACAACCTGATGTTCTGCACTTGACATGATTTGTAAAGATTAATTACATCCGCCGCAGATGGAAGATTGTCGCCGTTCAAACCATAGCAAATGCCAATATCGCTGCCCTCTGCAACATATACAGTAGCTCAGTCATTAACATTAAAAACAAAGTAGAGGCAAAAATGGATTGAAGATTGTTGATACAAGTTTTCTTTTACCTGTTACAGAAAGGAATCGAGTTAAAAACACCATTGCTGACACCAATAACCCAGAAAATCTTGTACTCGTCGTTTTCACCCTTTTCCTTGCTTTACAAATTCTAAAGCCGGTGGCTTTGAATAAAATTTCTACCTTTCCCCCCCTTTCTTTCTGAAACGTCGTCAATTACTGGTGCACACTGCCGGCTTTATGTAGTGCAAATTACACACTAAATGTGGACCATTTAATTAAAAAATAATTAATTAAACTCATAACTATATTTAAAAAAATTGAAAACACCATAATAATATTATACTTGAAAATGTTATCAAATATATTTTAATATATGTGATAGTTTTAATTCACTGTGGCAATTTATTTAATAAATGGTAACAAATATAAATGAATTGGCTTGCCAACCTAATTATTTAATTGCATTAATGAACTTACCAATTTTACAATAATTTATATGAGTAGTTATATATCTATTAAATTCATATGCTAATCTCAATTTATTACCATTTCTTTCATTGGTTGTTTGTGATTCTAATCTTATTGGATTAACTCAAATTCATGTAGAGAATCCTTTTAATCCAATTTATTTTATTTATGGTAATTAATTAAATTTTAATTTTTAAACCTATTTAAAAGTATGTTTTAATAAAAAATAATGCTAAAGAACATCATTTTTCTCCAAGCGACCTCCCCAACTCAAATAATACTTAACTACAATAGATATTTGGGCCACTTAAGAGGTGAGAAAATTTGCGGTTACTTTAAAGAAGGAACTCCGTGGGCTGAAGTCTCGAAAATATTCATCAACCCTTTTTGTATTGCCGAGCCCACTCGAAGGCTGAAACTCTTGCAAACCGACACCATGGGTTCCATAGACACGCCGACGATTTCGGAGAATGGTTCAACACAATCCCACGCCACTGTAGAGCCGGTCGGCGACGACCAGAAGCCTTTGGCCTCCTCTAACGGAGCGCCGGAGAAAATGACACCGGAGCCTGAGGCAACGAAAAAGAGGAGGTCGAGTATACTCCCTCTAGAGGTTGGTACTCGCGTGATGTGCCGCTGGAGGGACGGCAAGTTTCATCCTGTCAAAGTTATCGAACGCCGCAAGATGCATTTTTCTGAGCCGAATGATTACGAATATTACGTTCATTACACCGAGTGTAAGATTTATGCTCTCCCTAGGGTTTTTTTTTAATTAAAATTAATTCTTTTAGGTTTTTATAATTGAACTGAAAATTTTAGAATTATTATGTTAGAAAGTTTGGAAATTGATATGTTTTTTTGTTATGATAATGTTATTGAAATTATAGTTAATAGGAGGCTAGATGAATGGGTGAAGCTTCAACAACTTGATCTTGATTCCGTGGAAACAGTTGTTGATGTTAAGGTTGAGGACAAGGTAAACTTTATTTTACAATGCTGAACGTTACATTTCAGTTTCTTCTATATTTGTGTTCTCAGGGTGTATTTATTCAAATATTTTGCTCATGGGGTTCTCAGGTTACAAGCTTAAAAATGACACGCCACCAGAAACGTAAGATTGATGAGACACTCGTCGACGTAGTAAGTAAATGCACACCTTTTGCTCGGTGATGTGTAAAGATCAGAGGCTAATTTGAATTTTCTATTTGTTGCTTTTGTGAAATTCTGTTATATGTAACTGTGTTACTTTCTTTTCTGCAGGGTCATGAGGAGCTAGATGCTGCTAGCTTGCGTGAGCATGAGGAATTCACAAAGGTGAAAAATATTTCGACTATAGAACTTGGAAGATACGAAATTGAGACATGGTACTTTTCCCCCTTTCCACCAGAATATAATGATTCATTGAAGTTGTACTTTTGTGAGTTTTGCCTCAACTTCATGAAACGCAAAGAGCAACTTCAAAGGCATATGGTGAGCTTTGCCTCAATGTAGTTATTGAAATTTTCCCCTTACAATATGTAGGGTTGCATTAGTTTATAGAATCTTAATTGTTGACTATGTTATAGTTTCTTTATAGCAACCTTGAATATTGTAATGTGATTTTACTTTTTTTTTTATCATGAATATAAGTTTTGTTTACCACATATTTTTGTTCTGTATGTTTTGTGTGAAAGTAATTGAGTGAAATTTGATTTGATAAGTTATGCCTGACATTTCTCCTCTCAATGTATGTTGTGGAATGAAGTCAATGATCTTGTCTTGGCAAGTGATACTTCTAATCTAGTTGCTGCTTTGCTTAACTTGTGTATAAGACAAGAGTTATCCTTCTATCCATCCTCTAGTACTTTACAATTCATGTAGGTGTAGAACTGTAAGTCGGGGTTTTCCTCTTTTTCTTTCCTTTTTGTCCTAATTGATTAAGATAAAAGCAACTATGGGATGTGTAGTTTGCTTGCTAAACTTCAAGTATCTGATTCTTATGTATGATTGATTATCAATAGATTTTTTCTTTTAGCGCCTGGAAATCACAAAATAAAATATTAGTTAATGGTGCCGGGGGGTTATTTTTAATTGTTTCTCCAATGGTTAAGAATGGAGCTTGTGTTTTAAGATCAATATATGGCAAGAATAATCTTTATTCTCCATGTCTTCAATTAATATCTTAAATTGCATTCCCCTGTAGTGTAATTGCCTATCTTATGCCTTCATTTATATTATGTTTCATTTACTTCATTTATTATGTCAGTTATAGGATGGAATGTGGTACAGATGTAGGATATTGTTGCATTGAAAAAAATGGCTTTTGGAACTTCTTAGTGATATATATGTATGTGTTTATATGTGTGTGTATGTATTGTCTTTGATTTTCCCCCTTCGTCTAATTGTCGCAAGTTGCAAATGGGGCATGATCAATATTAAACTCTGTTTTAATGCTACTCTGTAGAGGAAGTGTGATTTGAAGCATCTCCCTGGGGACGAAATATATCGAAGTGGTACACTGTCAATGTTTGAGGTATATTCTTGAAAAGCTTTTTACTGCTGCTACTTTCTGTTCCAAATCTCAAAAATGAAAAAGAAAAGCCTTTCCTCATTCTGGTTTTCTTCGAACCCACATTATTGCTTTTACTTTTTGTAAGTCCAATTCTCACATATCTTTCCTTGTACATAAAATCAAATAATCATAAGATCTTCTTGAAAGATACTTTAAATAAAAAGTGATGTATGTTTTTTTTCTTCTTTCACTATTAGCATAGAAATATTTTTCACCATTATTCTTTTTTCCTATACCTTTGCTGTGTTTTCCTGCTAAAAATGTCTTGTTATAGAATGCGGCAGTTCTTTAACCATTGCTGACATTTGTATTCCTTTGTTCAAATATTTTGAGACAGGTTGATGGAAAAAAGAACAAAGTTTATGGGCAGAATCTTTGTTATTTGGCGAAGTTGTTCCTTGACCACAAGACCCTTTATTACGATGTTGACCTGTTTTTATTCTATGTTTTGTGTGAATGTGATGATCGAGGTTGCCATATGGTTGGATACTTTTCCAAGGTAACTTATATGTTTTTGTTGCTTTTGATTTGATGCGGTGTGGAGTTGTAACAAATCTTTATATGTTTTTGGCTGTTCTAGTATTTTGTTTTTGCGATATACTAAATTAATAGCATGGAGGCACACAGCATTTCTTGACTTTCTAGCATCATTTAGGAGATTTGAATTATAGAACTTATTGTCTATTCGTGTATTTTGGAAACTTTCAGCTGCTTATTCAACCCATTACCCATAGTGTGTTGGTTAAAAATTTTCTGCAGTTCTAATATCTGGCTTGCTTAAGATGTGAATCTTTCTGTTTTTTTGATTATATATATATATATATATTTCATTGTTCAAAGTATTAAGAATTTTGCATCTAATCATGCAGGAAAAGCATTCAGAGGAATCCTATAATTTGGCATGTATCCTCACCCTTCCTCCATATCAAAGGAAAGGCTATGGAAAGTTTTTGATTGCATTTTGTAAGCTCTGTGCTTGTTATTTTGTTTTATGATTTTCCCCCCTCGTGATACGACTTCGTAAAGTAAATAGCTAGATACTTCAGCTTTATGGATATTGGACATAAATGCTTACGTAAGTTGTCCTTTTACATTTGATCCTATAGGTTATTAACTAGAGTTTTATTGCTTATTTGTCTTCGATATGGACCAGCATATGAACTCTCAAAGAAAGAAGGTAAAGTTGGCACACCTGAAAAACCACTTTCTGACCTAGGTCTGTTGAGCTACAGAGGGTACTGGACAAGGGTTCTTTTAGACATCTTGAAAAAGCATAAAGGAAGTATTTCCATCAAGGTATCACTACTGAAGCCGTATTTAAAGTCTAGTGGGCTGTGATTTATGCAGTTCTCTCTACTTTATCCACAGTGAAAATTTTAGTCCCGTAATGAAGTTAAAATATTGTCATGTCTCTTTTTCTTTTAGTTTTTTTAAAAAATATTTTAATATATCCTACAAGGGTATGCCTAGTAAACCTGCTAGTGAATTTCAAAATTTTGGTAAGCATGGATGAGAGCTGCTGATGAGTGTGGTTGAGTAGAGTAAAGCCTACGTGGTAAATATTCTTGAGTTCAACTCAACTGGACCCAACCCAACTATCAGAAAATTAAGTTCCAGATTTGATTAGGAAGACGTAATCGCCTATTCGATACTATATAAAAGGAAAAACTTTGAGACATTGGATTTGAAAATTAGAACTTGCAAAGACTACTCAAACCAGTTCAATTTGTCCTGCGGATATTAAATTAAATCTGGGTACGCTTTCAGACAAGCTTGAGTAGCTTGCATAGTGTGCATGGGTGCTTTCACTTGAAAATGGTGATCATAGAATGTGTGCCCCACCTAAAAAATATAAACGACCATCCTTTAATAATATGATAACACTAGTGATTTTAGATCACCTTACCATATGAAATTAGAAAAAAGTAAGAATATGATGTTAAAAACATGCATGAATTGATTGGTTTGATGCTGCAAAGGAAGGAATTGGGTGACTAATAACGTTGTTTTGGCTGGTTTGTATGTTTTAGATGTAAGTGTTTTAAGTTTTATGTAGTTTGCAAGACTGTTTTTAAGTTTTATGTAGTTTGCAAGACTTTTTAAGTCTTATGTAACTGGCTTATTATTAATAAATTGATGCACTCTTTTCCTCCTTCCGCTAGTTGGTTCTAGCCTTAGGGCAGAGGATTATTATGAGGGAGGTTTTTAATGAGGCATCCTATTCCTATCAAAAAAAAATTAGCTTGTTGTTGCTGAGGAACTATATCTACTATCAATTCTTCGTAAATTTTGGTTCAATGTTGGTCATTGAATCGTTGTCTATTTCCTGCATGAACCTATTCTTTCCAGGAACTTAGTGACATGACAGCCATAAAGGCCGAGGATATATTGACTACTCTTCAAAGTCTAGAACTGATACAATACAGGAAGGGGCAGCATGTTATATGTGCCGATCCCAAGGTGTTGGATCGTCATCTAAAAGCTGCAGGGCGTGGTGGTCTTGAGGTTGATGTTAGCAAGCTAATCTGGACACCGTATAAAGAACAGAGTTAAAGCTACATGCCTTTCGAGTTTATCTAGGTTACCTGGCAATTGTAACTTCTTGTGCTTGTATAAAAATAGAGGGTAGCAATCAGAAGTCAAAATAGCTTCGTCCTAACATCATCTCAAGACATGTGCTTCAAGCTTACCTGTATATGTATTTTTTTTAACCGTGAGATAATGAGTTTCTTTTGCTTGTAATTAATGTGAGATTGTTTTGGTTTTTTGACAAAAGATGTCTGAATTTGGGATAGGAGAATTGCAAATGTAAATATCGGAATTTGGATATACATTAAGGATGATCTTACGAAGTAGGAAGTTATAATGTCACCCATGCAGTCAAGTCTTAACAGAAGAAAAAAGTCACGTCCAATGATAAACATCATCTAAAAGGTCGCGGTTAATAGTAAATAATAAGATATCGAGACATTGCATATTTTTTCTGAGCTACCGACAATCGACTGTGGACACATTGAATATCAAAGTGTCTGATTTGGAAGATGGGAAAACAATTACCGTTAAAAGATCATGTTTAAAAGTCATTAGAAAAGCATTAGGAGTAGCGTTAATTGAAAACATTTAGTAGAATTAGTAACCATGAGACTTTCTTGTACCCAACTCGTTTGGTTTGACATTTGGAACAAAAAAAAAATCTTTGAATTATTTAAATGGTTGATGCCTTGTCCCTTTTTTTTAATGTTGGTCTGACTGTTAATTTGACAATGGTTGTGAAAGAAAGCAGTGTTTCTTTTTGGTGAAAAATCAAATCTTGTAGTTTTTAGTAAAATCATTTAGGTTTTAAAGCAAATAATCCAATTGGTTGGTGTTAGGCATCCTAATCCTATCAAATAAACAGATGAGAAAAATATCCAGACTCTTAAATGCATACTATTGATTTTCACATTGGCAGCAACAAAACATAATAATGGGTTGTATCAATAATTTTAGAGATCAATGTCTGAATCTTTGGACTTTGATGAATATTCATTCATATGCATCTTTGAGTTCTTGACTGGCATCACCATAATTCCATGCCTCTTGTGGAAATACATCAGTGAAAACCACAATCTACAAAAATTGGAACTTAAAGAACAAATCATATCCATTACCTAACCTTGTACAATGTTTTCTTTTTCTCAAACTGTCGTCGGTTCTTGATGTCTGTTAACTTGAATCTGTTGAAGTTGTAAGCTTTCCAGAGAAACTCCACGAGATCTCCTCTGCCAAAGAGTGTCCCCATCTCCTTTATCACCTTTTTTCGGAACTCTCTTGATGACAGGCAAAGGGGGATCCATGTTCTCGACGCTGATCGAACTCGACCCGCAATTCTCTTTTCCACCATTTTCTAACCCTGGTTTTCTCCTGCTATTGTTGCCGGAAAACAGCTTCTTAAGCTTCAAGTACTTGATGTTATTACCCTTACTAGTATTGCAGCTGTTGATCTTGGCGGTGAGATCGAGTGCAGGGAATCCGACAATCCTGTTGTTCCTCTTCACTTGTCCCATGCAACTGATCTTTGGAGACAGAGGGTCATCGGATGACTTGTGTTCCCATCTGGGAAGCCTCACCACCACATCTTTATTAATGGATGTTCTTGAACATAACATGGGCAAAAAAATACTTCCCTTGCTGCTGTGACTAAACTGCAGATTCTGACGGCGATTATATGTACTTCCCATGTTCTGTCAGCTCCTTAGCTTCTTGTAAAAAATTTGAAGACTGTAACAACAAACCTAAAAAGAAAGAAATCAAGGAGATATAGGAGCACAACTGCAGAAGATTTCCAGCTTCTTTTAGTCGATTTTTTTTGGGTCAAAATATGAACAAAGTATGGTATTATATTACTTTTTCAAGGTAACTGAAGTGAACAATACATGTCAGACTCGGACATTGGGTTGATCTCCAAAGGCATGTTTTTGTCGGCGACTCACCAGGGTAGCAGTGAGTGTATGTCAAGTTTCTAATTTGAAAGATGATATTGATGAGAAGGATGATATTATAAAATGAATCTAAAGTGGGGTACGAAGAAAAAGACATTTATCTCGCATTAGGAAAAAAAGTATTCAACTGATTTAATTTTAGATTAAATTTTGTTCGAATATATTTTTTTTTGATCGAGATCATCCAACCCATAAAAAATAGTTAAATATTAAAATTTAACTCTAAGAGAGCCCGACCTCTCCAACCACATGGAGAAGTGTAATTTTGAATTAACAGTAGGATGGCAAAGGGTTAAATATAAAAAAACTGTTACTTTTCTACAAGAACATGATCAGTGATCAATATTCAATATATCACTGCCAGAGATTGCCTACAGAATCAAGACATGCTTATCTGTCTCCTTACCCTCCAACTGTATACAATTATTATAAATAAAATACTGTTAATATTAAGAAATAGATTTGTTTGTTTGTCATTTCTATTTGGTTGTACTGAGAAAAGAAAATCAGTAGGCTTCATAATTCATGTTCTACATCAGGTGGTTGGAGCCTCTAAAGGCTTTTGGGGTGTCGGTCCTTAAAATTTTTATATAATTTAAATATTTTTTAGATATTTTTTGATAATTTATTTTCGCTCTTAAAATTTTGTAAGTTTATCATGCGAACATAAAATTCTACCTTTGTCTTTGCCTACGAGTTCCACTGTCTTTAAGTAGCAGTCTCCTTGATCAGATGTAGAGCTCATACAGAACTGAAAATTAGTAAAGCATGAAGCTCACAGAGAAGGGAACATTTTACGTGGCATGGATAAAAAATAAAAAGAACTAAGAGTTACTAAACAATAACACAAATGGCTATAATTATACTTATTTAATTTTTTATTCTATAATTTTGTTTGAATTGAAGTGTGTTATACAAAGATGTGATCATACATTAGCATTTGGAGGTTTTGAAACTCATTTCACACCTCTTACACATTACATTTCTATGAGAAAAACAAAAATTGTCATAAAAGTACATACTAATGTCTAGTTTGCTTTCCATTTTTCCAAGCAAACGCTGGAGTAAATATATTTGCAATTGTTGTTATCTCGTACCTCTGATCAGCCATTGATCAACCATGAATGTTGTTGTAATCTTGTCCCCCACCCAAGAAAACCTTTGTGTCGATTTAGATTAATGCAGTCCAAACTACAGCATCCCCTTCACCGCGCTTTAGATGAACGAGTTGCATCCTCTCTACCGATTTGCAGATTCCGCTGCAGCTCCAATCGAATGATGCCACACAGGTATTACCTTCTTGTGCCTTCCGCTCACAGTCTGCAACATAATGGGAACAAACATACAAATATTTCAACAATGATTTTGGCGACAAGTCTGCTTGTTTCGATCAAACTACCTGACTTCTTCAACATCGGATGAGTCGTTGGCGACAAGTGTGCTTGTTTCGATCAAACTACCTGATTTTAACATGCTCCTATCGTCTACGTGCTCATCCTCTAGGCCGATAAACCATGAACCAAGGGACACATCTTCGTTGGCATACTTGTGCAATATAGGCCTGCAATTAGTCACTCTGATTATTATTAGCCCTGACTTCCATTTCAAGGTAACTTTCAGATAAAAAATTGAGAATCTCACTGATTTATGGCAATGTAGTCTGCGAGATCCTTTGAAATCACATATATCTGCCCGGTTGCGTGTCGGAAGTATTTGTTCCCTACTTCTCCGAATTTCCAGTACTCGGGTTCATGGTACTTGACATATCTAATGAACAAAAAAGATCTCAAGAAAAAAATGTATGGCAAAATTTGCAGGAGGGGGCAAAGAAAATTGGAGATTATATTATCAATGACAAAAAATACCAGGATATTTACTTTATAGAAAGAACCGGTCCGGATTTCATGCACCCTATATAGACCCGGGCTTGTAATGGTGACGGCCGAGAGTTGCAGCTAGCTTACCTACGGGAAAACATGCATAAGAAATTCACTAACGAAACAATCCAAGAATTCTTCTTCAGCATTCTTTTGGGTGCTAAATATTTGTAATATTAGAGACGGAAAACCTACCAAGATTAACATGGACATCGTCATCCATCTTGACGTAGAACTCGACATCCCATTTTTTACCGCAGTAGAAAAGTAAGTTTTTGTTTTTGCAGATAATTCATGATATCCTTCAACATGCTCCTGTATAAGAAAATTTATACCAGTTATTGGCAAGAAATATCATACTGTCTCATAAGAGTTCTCAATATTATCGTCGGAGCTCTTGTCTAACCAGCCAAAGCAAGTCCTTATGCTCAGCGTCCTCTGAATCAATAGCTCTATCCAAAATGTTGTTGGATGTTGCACTGGAGTAAAAAAAGAATGCAGATATAAGCATATGTCAGTTCAAATTTCACACTATCAAATACAATTCAACCATATTCATAGCAATAACAAATATTTTGAATTTCAAACCGAAGTTGTGTCATATATATGTAATGAACAATGAACTGAACAACAATTTTACCTATGACCAATCGTAAATCGGATAACAATCCCCTTCTCACGCCCCAATTGAACAAGTTTGTTCCCTGTTCATACATGAACATAAGACTTCATTTCAGAAATTAAATGCAAAGAACAAACTAATCGAGTACTCTATAAAAGACCTTGTGGCATCCACGTTTCTCTGATGGAATCACGCCTCTTCCTACTACTAAAAGCAGTGTTAATCCCGATAACCATGAACACTTTCGTCCTCTGCGAGCCGTTGTAAGCAAGAGCCAAGGTCGAGACGGCACTGGTGGCATCCTAGTTCTTCATTTCCTGATTTCAACAGGAGGCGGCTAACTTCATCTGAAGCGTGGCAACTGTTTTGTCCAGAGATCTAATATCAGAATTGCAAAGAAAATATCAGGGAAGAGAGGAGACTTTCCAAGAGAAAGAAAAAAAAACATAAATTTTGTACTCACTCAATTGCTTCGTGGGTTTTCAAGACTTGACCCATTACATCATTATCTGGTCCAGACTTCTGTGAAACAAATAAAGCTCTGTTTAAAAGAAAAACAAAACAAATGGTTAAACTGTCAATGTTAACATAACAGAAACATACTTTCTTATTGTCACAAGCGTCCGAGCCAATCTCCTGTTCACGTCGATGCGGATTGTTGGATGTAGTCGTATTCCAGAGCCTGAAACCAAAAATCCAATATCCATTAAAAAAAAACCATCTACCATAACAGTTAAAGACCCAAACCCAAAAATGAAAAGGTAAAAAGAGGGGGCATTGACACCATTTCATTAATCAATAAAATAAAAAAATAAAAAAAAGAAGATTCAAAGAAAGAACAAGAGAGGGACCTGTGGCTCAAGAGAGCTCCGAGGGTGAAGGAGACGCAGAGAAATAGGATCCATGACGACGAGCGTACACTTTGATCACGAAATGTAAGATTATCATGAATAGAATTATTGAGATTGTTATATTTTATGTTTAGTTGGTTTAACAAAAATGTAAGATTATCGTGTTTAATTAAAGGAATAAAATATTATTAGAATATATATTTGATCAAATTATCTTTATTATATATTTTTATAATATTAAAAGTAAAAAAATATTTATATTTTTTCTTTAAAAATTTAAATTCATAATATTTATATAAATTTTTTACAAAATTAAAAATATAAAAAAATATTTAATGAAATGATGAAATTTTATTTTAACCCCTAAACTTTATATAAAATTTTAATTATAGATTTTTTTTATAAATCTAAAATAATTTAAGGATAAATTTGTAATTTAATCTTTGTAGAATTTTTATTATTCAATGACAAAATAATGATATTTTGGAAAAAAAATAAAAATTTAAGGGCATTTTAGTCCAAAACACCGGTAATCAAACAATACTTAAGGAAAAGGAGATAATGACATTCCCGGTAATATACTCAAAAAATTCACTATTAGTAATCTTACATTACCGGAAATGAGATTCCCAGACTAACCAAACGAAAGAATGTAGATTACATTCCCATGAGAATCCCACATTCCCCTATCCAAACACCCCTGAGTGTTTTATATTATATAATAAATTGTTATTTACTCCTTATTTTTTAATAGATATTACTGATTTATCTTTCTGAGTTTATTTTGGACAGAAATTTTATTGGATTAATTAACTTAAAAGATAGTAGATTTCGATAGTTCAATCAATATCTTGAATATTTAATTAAAATTTATTTGACATAAAATTATCCATAAGATGATGTAGAATTCAACTAAAAGTACAAGACTTAAATATTTATTTTTATCTTTCATGATAAATTTTTTATATTTAGATTTTTTAGTTTGATTATTTTATTATTATTTTATTTAAGAATTAATTATTTTATTAGAACTCTTAGTAACATTTTAGTTTAATTAGTAATTGGTCATTTTATTTACTTAGAACTTTTGTTATAAATACACCTTTCTTGACTATTTATTGAAGTTCTACTTTTCTTTCATTATTTTCTTATCTCAATGCTAAACATGATGCAAGCTTAGCTAAATCTCTTTTAACCGATAGCTGAGCGATGATTCTATCCATTTCGTGAGAATTGAAAAGTGCTTCATACTTTTAGGTATATTTTTTGATTTTCAGCAAACAATGTTAGGTAATAGACTAAATCTTTAAATTCTTTACACTTTCAATTCAAATATTGCACATTGGCTTGAATGTTGTTTTGATTTACTGTTGGGGAGGAGAATCGACT